ACTGGTTCGAATAGCGGTTTTAACAGCGGTTCAAATAACGGTTCAAATAGCGGTTTTAACAGCGGTTTTAACAGCGGTTATAATACTGGTTCAAATAGCGGTTTTAACAGCGGCCTTAACAGCGGTTCAAATACCGGCTCAAATAGCGGTTTTAACAGCGGTTCAATACTGGTTCGAATAGCGGTTTTAACAGCGGTTTTACCAGCGGTTTTAACAGCGGTTCAAATACCGGCTCAAATAGCGGTTTTACCAGCGGTCTTAACAGCGGTTTTAACAGCGGTTTTAATAGCGGCTCAAACACTGGTTCGAATAGCGGTTTTAACAGCGGTTCAATACTGGTTCGAATAGCGGTTTTAACAGCGGTTTTAACAGCGGTTCAAATACCGGCTCAAATAGCGGTTTTAACAGCGGTTATAATAGCGTTTCAAATACCGCTTACAACAGCGCTTCAAATACCGCTTCTATTAGTTATACCTACTCTTCTTCTAAAATATAATCTTATTTTACTTCTTTATCCTTACTCTTATACCCTCTTTCCCTCTTCCTCTTACAAATTCAACCCCTCCTCAAACCTTATACCTACTTTTTATTCTCTATATTCTTAACCCTAAGCTTTCTTTCTAAACCTAACCCTAACCATGGCTACCGCTGCCCTGCCGGGTGCTGGACACCACGGGTTGCCCCCGCATACAAGTACGCCGGGCGACGGAGACAACCCTAAGAACTACAATAAAGGTTCGCAATAGAGCGTAAATCAATATCAATAATAACCCTTATTCTCATCAAACTCTATCTATAATGACCTTTTCAACCCTAACATATATCGCTTTTTCTCTACCTTCTTTATATACTTCATTAACTTAACCCTTTTTTCTATATAATATAAAGTAACCCTCGTTTTATTTATAACACCTCTCCATCCTCCTCCTCTATACTAAAAAAAAACCTAGAATTCGTTTCTTTATTAGTTTCTCCTTCTTTTCTCGGTAGAAACTAGATCGCTACGTCCCGAACCAATATATACCCCCTCTATATGCTTCCTATATAATGGCCTCCCATAATGCATGCATATTGGTCCCCTCCGACCCGTGGAACCGCCGCCGTCCTCCGAGCTACCGGAAAAAGCCCTCCCGGTCGCTACCATCAACCCCAAACTCCCTCTTCGCCAGTTCCCGAACCCTCCCGCTCTTTAGCCCTATCAGAACCACCGGTAATACCTTATCAATATCTTTATAGCGCCCTTCCTCGTCCGCCTCGCCTTCCCTCCTCTCCTCGTACTAGTCAAGCGGTAGCTTATACGTAAAGCAGTACGATAGCGGCCCGAACGTTATCTTCTTCCGTACTACCGCGTAGCCCTCGCCGGATACCTTGTTGCACTACTCGTCCCGGCGCGTGTGCCATGGCTCGTCTAGCGTCCCCTCCCTCTCGGTTTTTGCGTAGTGGCGCCGGATATAATATACCGCGTACTCATCCGCAACCTCGTCCAGCCAGCGGAACAGCGTCCGGACCCGTCGCCCTTCCCCCTTCCCAAAGTTACTCCACCGCTCGCCCTATCTGGCCCTGCCTCTTCCTCCACTAGCGGCAGCGGTCCGCGCCTGCTCCTCGCATCGGTCACAAAGCTCCGCGCCCGCTATATCCTTACACGATTCGCCGGCAACCCCGTCCATAAACGTACTAACGACCGTCCGTCGATACCCTACCGTCGATACGAATACCTCCATCTCGGCCCGGTTACGTTCGTCTACGGAGCTGCCGTGCGGGTCGGGCCGGCTCGGCCGTCCGTCGTGCACGATGACCGACTCTACTACCTCCCCTGCCCGCCGTCCTCCTCGCCCTGTCTGCTGCACAAAGTCCACGAGCCCGTACGGCTGTTCCGCGTGGATCACTGCCACGATGCCCTGGATGTCCACCCCTGTCCCCAAGCCCGACGTGGCCGTGATCCATCGCTGTCCCCCACCCCCGGCCCACCCTGCCCGCACCCCGTGGCATTCTTCCTCGCTCATGCCGCTGTGGTGGAAGCCGCAGCCGACCTCGTTGGCTATGACGACGTATTGGCGCCTCGATCGGCAGTAGATCACGCCCTTCTCCCCCCCGGACATCGTGGCCTCTAGCCGCTTGGCCGTCTCCGCCACCTGCCGCTCCACCGCCCCGCCCCCGGCCGTGACTTGCTCTACCCGGTACCGGCAATTCACCTTCGTCGTCCGATCCCGCACCATCGTTGCCGCCTCTACTAGTATCTGCTCCCGGAACCAGTCCTCGAGCACCTCCGGCATCGTCGTAGTTAAGAGTACTGACGGGCAGCTGTAGCGGTGTAAGCTTCGGAGCTCTCCTAGCCGAGCCCTGAAACCGATATCCGTGATAACGGTGTGGTACTCGTCGATGAATATCCGTCGGAGTAAGCCGGTATATAGTAGTCCGTCGGTATACGCGGAAAACTCCCCCGCGCTGACGACGTCCGCGCTGACGACTACCAGCCGGGCGGCCTGCGGTAGCCCTTCCCGTCCGGCGTGCGCTGACGATCGGAAACGGATGCAGTCCACGCCTATGGATACGGCGCGCGTGACCAGATCCTCCATTAGCGCCACGAATGGCACAACCACGATGTTGGTCCCGCCGTTCGCTATAACGGCCGGTAGCATGAACAGTATGCTCTTGCCGGCCCCTATCGGCAGCATGCTTACGATGGACTAGCTACCCTCTAGTGCTATAATCGCGCGCATGCTCTCGGCCTATTTATTATTACGCTATATCGCCCCGGGCCCGAATAACCTATATAACCCCGCCGCTATCGCCTCTTCCGCATCCTCTATAGCGGCCTCGCCCCGTATACGCTTAGAGCGGCCGAGTCCCGCTTATTATCGCATACCGTGCTCCGCCGCCTCGCCGGCCCGTTTCTACTTACCGTCCCCGGTCGCCTCCCCGTCTAGAAACCGATGCCATAGCCGGCTAATCTCCTTAAACGTTACGATCATCTCCGGCTATAGCTTTCTTAGGAACCCGATATATACAGTATAATACTATCGCGCAACCCGGCTCCCGTAAGTCGACGCTAGATCCTATACGATATTCTAGCTTCCTCCGTAGTGTACCGGCTCGCCGGTGACGGGATCGACCTCGACGTCGTCGTTCGCCCCGTCGTCGTCGTCGTCTAGCCGGCTCTCGATCTGTTTTAGCGCGAGTCCCCGTATTCGACGACCCATCTCGATAACTACGGCCCAGTATCGTCCTACGCCAAGCCGTACGCCCGTCGCCGCCTACATTACGCACGCTATCGTCCGGCTAAGCCGCTCAATATCCCACACCCGCAAGCTACCGTCTCGCTATATAAACTCTAGCTACTCCCCGCGCGGTTCGGCTAATTAGACTTTACGCCGGAGCGCCCGCTCCGCCGGGATAATCTATACGATATACGTTATTATTATCTACCCGATTATATCGGGGACGAACCGGGCCACCTTACGCAAGTTATCCCGGATCGCCTTCATCTTATCTTAGTCCGTTACGATCATTACCTACCCGTCGAGTACGAAGATATTGCGGATGAGCTACCACGAGTCGCAGTACCGCAGCATCGCCACCTCGGGCCCTCGGCCGGGTAGCCCGCCCTATACGTAGACGAGCACCATCAGTACCTCCCGGAATATCTTTAGCCGTCGCAGCCACTGCCGAACCCCCTCTCGCTTGACCTGTTGCTTTCTCGGGTCCCATATCGACGCCCCGAGCTGCCTCATCACCACCGCCGGTCCGGGCTCTAGCCAGTCGTTCTCCGCCTTCGTTACGAATGACTGGCCAGCCCCGAGCCGCACCATGCTATCGACGAGCCGTCCCAGCTTGATACGCATCTTGATCAGCTCCTAGTCCCCCCCGTACAGTGCGCCGAGTAGCTTCCGTACGTCGACGACCTGGTCCCGGAGCGCCCGCGTGAAGTCCCGGACGACGATATGCTCGCCGTTATAGAATAGCGACTCGCCGTTATCCGCCCAACGTACCGATAGCTGCCCGCCTATCCGCATCCGCTAGCCTTTCCCGAGCGCTATCTATCCGATGATGGTGCTAGCGACTGTGTACGCGCCTACATATATCCAAGCGGTATGTTGGTCCCGGAACGCAAGTACTGCCGGAACCCCGACCTCGTCCTGGTCCCGTGGCTGGTCCTCGAACGCTGCCTCCAAGAAGAAGAGCCGGGACCACCACAAGATGGCTACCAGCATGCCCGTATATAAGTGCGGCTCGGTATACCCGAGCGGACGAGATCGGATCCCTAGCGCTGCACAAAAGCACAGCAGCGAGCTTGCGTATACGTGCCCGCCGACCCGGGTCTTGATCGAGGCCACCATGAAGCAGAAGATGGCCCGGTCGAGCGTCTCGTTCTCGTTCCCGTTCCCGCCACGGCTGCCCTCGTCCCCCGCCCCGTCGTCGTCGGCGCTGGCCTCGCCCGCGTCGTCGTCGTCGTCGCTGTCCTGCTCGCTGCGGAACCCGCTGGCCTGGCTGCTGGCGATCCCGCTCCTCTCCAGCTCGGCTACCACGTCGCACAGCAAGCTCCACTGCTCCTCCGTGAAGCGGATGGCCCATCGCTCTAGCGCCTCGTCCCTTCCGATATGGTGCGCCCGCCAGCAGAATCCCAGATACCGGTGCCCCACGGACCGGTACTTGGCCATCGACGCCTCCTTGCCCTTGAGCCCGAATGGCATCCCGCTGGGGCTAGTGCTCACGATGCTCGCGAGCCATTAGAGCGTCTCGGCCGGCACGCTGTCCAGACGCCATCCGCACCGTTCCACCTCGCGGTCGAAGCTCTCTCCGAGACGCAGCAACGCCGACCGTTCTCGCACGGCCTCTTCGTCTTCTTCCTAGCCTCGTCCCGCCCGCATACTCTTCGCCCGTATCCATTCGGCAGCTTCGAATATACCGAGACGATCCCGAGACCCGAAATGCTTAACCCATCGCACCCTCTTCACCCACGACGAGTCCCGGTCCATTAACCCTAAGGCTGCGAATAAGGCCTAGAGCAGCTTGGTGTGCGCCGTCGACGCGTTGCGGAAGTACCGCCGCCCGATGGCCGTCGAGATATGCCGCCAGCTGCTGATGTTCAGCTTCTGCCCAAAAGCCAACGCGCTGAGCCGCCCGATGCTGCGTGATAAGCGCGGTGACGTCTAATGTTCTCCGGGGCCTAGCCTCTACCCGTTGTTGTCGTCGTTGTCGTCTTCGTCCCCGCCTGCTCCGTCCTGAACCGTCCGTCCGCCCCCCTGCTGCGTCTCGTCCCCCTATGTACCTTCCGTCGCCTATAACCCCACGTCGAACCGGGACCGGTCCTATATGTTGGCCTGGACGTCCTCCCAGAATAGTAGTACGAGCTATAGATAGTACGTTAATAGAGTCCCGACCTCGTGCGGTAAGAAGCGGTAGATGATCTTGAGTCGCCCTATCGTGGTAAAGCCTTTATACGCCCCCGTTACGACTATAACGAGTCCTCGGTCGTAGAAGATGTTGCGTATGCCTCCGTTATACGTGTTCCGGTGCCGCACCACGAGAAGCTCCCACGCCCGCAACGGGAACCCGCTGCTGATGTGCACGAGAACCGCCAGAAGCTCCAGCGCCTTCTCGACCCGGAGCCCGTATCGATATGCCGGCATGGGGTGCAGCGTTAAGCCGCCGTCGTTCGTGGACGTGACCCACCGGGACCGTAAGCCGTCGTCCTGTACGAGCGACCGCCCGACCGTTTCGTCCGCCGCGTTGTCCAAGAGCTCGGCCCACGGGATCGCCGGCAGCCCTAGTTCGGCCGCCGACTGTTCGGAGAACGCGCCGAAGAACAGCAAGTCCTTATAGAGCACCGTCTCTAGCTACCGGACCCCGACTTGCATCATCGCCTGGACGTCGAGAACGCCGAGACGGGTACCTTTATAATAAAGCTCCTCCTTACTCCTATCCTAGTATACCGAGCCGTGCATAGCCGTATTGTTCTATATAGCCATGCCGAAGTTACGGAGCCGGATGATAAACTGCGTCGGCGTCGTCTCCTAGCCCTTGCCCCCGCCGACTATGAACCGCCGGGTCATATCCGATATGAGTGCGAAATGGCTCGGGCTATTATCCTCGGCCTCCTCCTAGCTTTAGCCCTGCCGTATCTTTTGCTTTACCGCCTTAGCTCGCTGGTCCACCGTATATTTAACGATATAGAGCCGGGAGATCGCTATAATGGCGGAGAGCTTTGGCGTGAACCTACCGTACCCTTCCTACGCCCCGTCCGCCCGTATCCTAAGAACGGTCAAGAAGCTAACGAGAACGCTATCGTACTCGGAGTCCTTGGTAAAGTGGTCGAGAACGGAGATATACAACTCGAGAACGGCTATCTCGAGCCCGTCGAGAAGCCCGGCGATCCCGGGTGCGTCCGGGTCACGGCCGCCCTCGTTCCAAGCCTCGGCCAGATCGTCTGCATGGTCCATCACGGCATTATACGCAGTCTACTGCCTCGTGCTAAGCTTGAACGGTGGTCGATCCGCCTCGTTATCGAGAGACATGCATCGTACGAAGTAAGCGAGCAGCTGCTTGACTACGAGTCCGTACCTCCTCTGTGTTTCGGGCTTAAACCGGAAGTGGAACGGCTTCGTCCTCTCTTTCGACAGCTCGGTACGGTTCACTTCGAACAGAGCATTCCAAGTGACCACGCTGGGGGTGATAACGGCCTTGGCGTGGTCGACCAGCCGATCGAATGCCATGTGCACGAACCGTAGTTGGGCGTCGTCGGACTTGTCTGGGTCGTCGGGGTCGACGTCGTATTCCATGGCGATCAAGTCCCTAAGAAATCCTTTTTCCCGCTGAACGCCTTCAAGTGAAGAGCGGAGCCGAGCCGACGAAGCCACGGGTTGGGCACATTGACGTCGTCCTCTTCGTCGATACGCTCCGCCTCTCGACTTCGGATATCGTCGCCCTTGTTCTGGAATGCCTCGATAGCCCGCTGGAGTCGGACGTGGGGCTCGTCCTATTGCACCCTTGCTTGTTCAAGACGCAGCCCCCTTGCCACCTCGAACAGCTCGCTCCCGAGTCCGCTTGTGAATAGTCGCTGGTGATGGACGCCCGTCCTCCACGGACTAATACTTCTTTCCTCCTCCGCCGTAGTAGTAGAGCGATCCACCCTTGAGTCCCAAGTCCCAGCCATGCTTGACCCTGAGATGTTCTCGGATCCGCCGCCGGTCTCTACCTACGTATCGACAGTCGGGCGGTAACGTACTATCTTCGACTACGAACTCGCACTAGAAACTACCTATACTAGCGGACCTAACGTTACGATGGCCGGTGCGTCGTCTGGCCTGGATAGTAGACCGTCGTAGACCTCTTGCTAATTACGGAAGATGAATGACCTAACGCCCACGCTTCTATCTCTCTAATCTCCTGACCGCTAAGAGTGTGCGGACTGTTACGAAGATATACCTTAATTTGTTTCCGTGTAACCGCGGTCTAGCATGTACGGCAGCAGAGAAGCCGTAGTTCTGGTTCGTACACAAAGTAGTCCATTGTAAACACACTCAAAATTGGAAATGCCGTACTTGAATCTTCTAAGCTAGCCATCTATCCTATAGTCGCAGTACTTACTTTCACCCTCTTTATCCTTTGACAACAGATCAAGTTAAATGCCGTTAATCGAGACATGTTGCTACGGCTACTATTAAACTTTGTAAGTCAAGAATGCGACCTGGTTGGCTGTGACGAGATGGTCCGTGCTTACATACCCTGTCTTTCAACGACCATCAAAAAACCGACCGAAAAGCAGACTGGCTTCAAAGCGACCGTACTTACATATAAACGTATTACTATTGACATTAATCGGCTCGTAGTTGATCTTTTGACAAGCTTACCTGTTTTGAACTCGCCGCGACACGTGTAGCGCCCAGACCGCTAATCGTCGGCAGACGTTGATCCCAATCGTCGCAACCCCCATGACCTGCTAGCGCCGAAATTTCTCCCATACAAATTTAATCGTCGGCAGGCTATCGACGTAAACAATGATTGTCAGGATTTCAACCATCACCTAGTAGGTGTTTGAAGTTGCCAGTATGTTAGGGTGGAAGCTCTTAGAGGCCAACTGCGGTTAGGGGTAACATGATGGATTACTGAAATCTGCTCCTCCCTCGACGTGCACTCCCCGCGCTGTATATCTATCTGAGCTGCTCCTTTGTTACTTGGACTCCTTACTACCTCTAACTAGCCCTTACCCGGGAGGGCTCTGACACTTCCACTCTATATAAAAACACTACTTCTACTTAATCCTCTTCGCCATCAACCTGTCAGCCAGCATCCCAATAGCACGGCATTTTGTGTCTGGGTTTTACCTGGACCTTTCTTCCCGAGCCCTTGCATCTCGCACTGACTCTACTTTAAATACATCTCCATGTCATCGACTTCATTCATACTTTGTTTACTTCGCTTTCCATGTCCCTTTATTATATTATGCATATTCGTAACTGAATACATACCGGATGAAAACTAGATCCTACTAAAGCCTTATTTATATCATCTTCTCCGTTAAGGGACCGCTAGAGGGAGGTAGTAATCGTAGGGTTAGCTATCTTTACTACGTAGTAGCAGAGATAATAGCAACCATATTGTCTAGGTAGGCCGCCCGCTCGCATATGACGAGATGGTCCGTACTTACATACCCTATCTTTCAACGACCATCAAAAAACCGACCGAAAAGCAGACTGGCTTCAAAGCGACCGTACTTACATATAAACGTATTACTGTTGACATCAATCGGCTCGTAGTTGATCCTTTAACAAGCTTACCTGTTTTGAACTCACCGCGACACGTGTAGCGCCCAGACCGCTAATCGTCGGCAGACGTTGATCCCAATCGTCGCAACCCCCATGACCTGCTAGCGCCGAAATTTCTCCCATACAAATTTAATCGTCGGCAGGCTATCGACGTAAACAATGATTGTTAGGCGTAGGAAGACGCTGACCCTAAGCGGTAGGCAGCACCTTATTGATCAAAGGAGTAATAATAACGAAACTCTGTTATAGATAATTAGAATTATTACTATGTTCTATAGCTAACTAATCTGAGCGGCAGAGGAAGGTTCCTCGATGTAGTTTTTTACCTGGCCTCACCCGTGGATAATACTAGTATAACGATCTACCTAAATCTTGTCCTGGCTATGGAAGACCATGCTGATGAAGTCGTCCGGCCGTTTTATAGCAGCGCGCAGCTCTCGGAAGAGAACGAGGAGTTCGTCTCGTGGACGGAGCTGTAAGTCCGTGTTTTGCGGGCTGTCCCGTTGGCTCTTAGACGTTACCCAGCCCAGTTCTCGGAGCATGCGGTTACTGCAACCCTTGTGCTCTAGCGCCGTGTTAGTCTTGAACACCGGATCGAAGGCTTGTTGGCACGTACCGATTTTCTTTGTTATCTTGGCGATGTCGTACGCCGTGCCGCTCGCGCTCTTTGCCCACGGGAAGGACGCCGGGTAGAGGAACCATATTATACGCGTGACCATGACGAGGGCAAGCTGCGCCGGGCTCTTCCGCTTCGGGGCCGCGCTGAAGGTCCGGGCGCCGGGCGCGACCTCGGGCGTCTCGGATGAGGAGCAGACGGTCAGGACAATCATAAGCATCAAATAGTAGAACGTATCGTCGATATTATTAACGAGGCAGTTTATAGCGAGCTAGTAGTAGTCGAGCACTTTAGCATCTCCCTTATTAAAGAAGATGGATTTCGCCTGACTAAAGCCGGATAGTACGAGTCCGGGAATGTTGGTAAAGGGTACCGGATAGCCGAAGTCGATGCGTGGATAGCGCTCCCGACGCTCGGCCCGGTCTCTTAATATCTTCTCGTGCTTAATCTCTGCCTCCTGCGCCGCCCGCTATAGCGATCCGGGTGCGCTAGTCGGGGCCGAGGTAGTACCGGCCTTACCCCCGAGCTATATAATACTTCTCAAGGTGAGCCGGCCGCGGACCGGACCCGGTACCTACTCGATACCGGCGACGAGAAAGTAGCCCGTGAAGACGGCCTCCTACGTCGCCGTATTAACGCTACTGCCCGGGGACGTACGACCGTTAGCGATAGCGAAGTGTAGCGTCGACGGCTACGTTGCGTTCTTAGCCGCGAACGAATCTCTACCGGCGTCGCCGCTAACGACCCGTAATAGCTCCGATATAAAGTCCTGCCGCGCGCGCTGGGCCGAGACCGAGATGGCCGCGTGCTCGCCGCCGGGCCTCAGGCCGCGATAGAGCCGCTGGAGAGCCTTCCAGGTGAATGCGTCACCGGCTGCGTCCCAGTCCGTCAGGGCCTGCTCGCACGCCGCGACGGATTCCATCGTGATGGGCACGCCCGCGTCGCCGGTTCTGCCGCCGCCGCCCTCGTGAAGGCGGCGCCTGAGCTGCTGCACCATGAAGGCCTTGGTTTGCGGCACCCACAGCTCGCGGACGAGCTCCTCGGCAAAGGCAGCGACGGCCGTCTTGCTCGTGAACGCGGCGTTGCCCAGCTGCGCGAACCAGACGGCGCTCTCGCGGGACGACGCCACCCGGGCGCCGTAATGGTGGCGCAGCTCCCGCACGTGGAGCAGCACGGGCCGGCCCGTCTTCGCGCAGTGGGGCCACCGCGCCATGTTGATGACGGCCCCGCCCGAGCCCGACCCGCCGAGGTCCACGACGGCCGGGTCGAGGAAGGGCCAGCCACCGGCCCAGAGGCTGGCGAAGGTGCCGAGCGGCCGCAGCACCGATCCGGCGAGGTGCCGCGGGTGGCCCGAGAACATGAACCCGCCTAGCCGGTCCATGACGGCGACCGCCTCGGACCGCGCCAGGTCGAGCCCCTGCTCGCCGCCGAGGACGAACTGGCGGTGCATCTCGTCGAGGCCCAGCTCGAAGAGCCGTGCGTAGGCGCACATGATCCGCGGGAAGACCTCGAGCGGCATCGACCGGAAGATGTGCACGAAGGACTCCTGCTCGACTAGGAAGAAGCGCATCATCTGGAAGATGGGGCGTATCACGGTCTTGAACGTCCGCTCTCCCGCCGTCATGCGTCGGACGTCCAACGAGACCACCTGCTCGAGGCGGAATGCCACCTCCTCGGCCTCGATAGCGACGTCCATCTGCCGCCGCTCCCTCGCGAACGGCTTGGCCTCGTCGGGTCCGCGGAGAATGCGCAGTAACCGCTCGCGCTTCTCCCGCGCCGCCGCCGTGGCCCCGGCGTCCGACGCCGGCACGGTCATGGCCGCCGTCGCGTATCCCTTAGTAGCCAGCAGGTCGTGGGGGCTGTGGCGGATGCTGCGCTTGATGTTGGAGTACCCCTGGAAGTAGCCGAAGGAGAGGACGTCCGCGCCCTCGTTCCGGTCGCTCATATTGCCCTTTATAACGGCGAAGAGCGAGTTAAGGAATATAGGCGGGTAGTAGGAGGATACGTTGCCGTATACTGGGTAGAAGGCCTGTGGATAGAAGGTGAAGTCCTGCGCGCTCGCGAACTCCCTCCCGAGTATGTTCCTGTCGGCCAACAGGCACCGTGTCTCCGATAAGTCGGCGTCGCCGCCCGTCGCCCTATCGCTGTTAATATAGACGGCGAGCGCGTATAAGACGGCCGTAATGTTCTGTAGATGGAACCGGGTCTCGAGCTCGGATACTAGCTTCCTTAGGCCGTTGTACTTGCGCAGGATCCGCTCGTAGCGGGTGTCCTCCGCGCCGTCCGTATACCGGCCTCTTACCGCTCCGCCTCTCCCCCGTACGGTCGGCCGATCCCCTATGGATAACTCTTCTAAGTAGAGCGTCTCCCTATTAGCGTCGTCGTCCCGCTCCCCTTCCTCCTTATCCCCCCCCTCCGCTTCGTCTTTATTATCGTCTATCTCCTTTATAAAATAGTACCTCTCGCGCGGCAGGTTATAAAGCTCGTCGCTTACCTCGATCTCGATATTAGCACTATAATTATAAATATAAAAGGCCGGCTCGTGCTTCGCCCAGAACGACTCGCTACCCCCGCGGCGCGCCGACTAGGCCGCCTAGCCCGCTATAAATGCTTCTTAGAACGCCATCTACCGCGTAGAGCTAATCCGTTAGGTCTCCCGACCGCCCGGCCGTCACGAGCGCTCGATGCCCTCGCCCAGCAGCGCGGGTAGTTGGAAGATATCGGTGATGTACGATGCCAGCTCGCACGCCAGCGGCACCGGCATGCCGCTCCGTTCGCCGGCCTGCTCCCGGCGCCTTCGCGCGTCGGCGGCCGATGACGGCAGCTCCGATACCTCCCCCGTCACCGGGTGCATGACGATGAACCAGATCTCGCGCGTGGCCGCCTGCGCGATTCTGAACGTCCGGCCTGTTATGTCGAAGGGGATCCCGCTGACGTGCTTCGCGCCGTACGGCGCCGACCACCGCTGGAAGGACACGGTGATGTTATCGAAGATGGGACCGTCGGGCCTCGAGATCGGTCGGCCCGGTCTGCCGACCACGCTGAAGAAGTCGAGGTAGAAGGACGGGTAGAAGCGGTCCGACGGCCTCGCCTGGGTGCCCCCCGCGCGGGCCGACCCGAAGTCGACGGTGTGCTTCTCTTGGATCATCTTGAGCGCGTCCGCGGGCTCAAAGTCCTCTGCGAGGGCTCTCTCGATAAATCGGGCGGCTAGCCACGTCGGTTAGCCCCCCGTCCTCCTCACTCGTCGGGTCTTACTTATTTACCGTAGAGGCGGTAGTGACCCGTGGAGTGATCAACCGCCCACCTCTATGATATGCCGCCGGGTCTCCTCATACTCTCCTCGTTACCCTCCTAATCCTCTTCCTCCTCTTCCTCCTCCTCTTCGCCTACCTCGATAGTATCCATCCATAGCATATCCTCGACGTCGTGAGACGAACTAGCGGACATCGTACTAGTGCTACTACTAATATATAGTCTAGAAGTAGTTACGTTACCGGTAGGCTAGTCGATATCGGGCGTCGGACGGGACAGGAGAGGGGGGGTTCCCTGCCTATTTATATATACAGAACGCGCCTATCACCGATTTATAGGGTAGAGGGGGGCGACTCGGAGCGTATGTAAGAGGGTATTGGGGATATGTGCAGACGCCTCTGCATAGCCAGATCTGTGCCGCTTCTGCCTTATTGTTGTTATTGTGGGCAACGGAATGGGGGTGGGGAGGGAAGGATGGGCGAAAGAAGGACGCGGGCATGGGGCGTCGGGAGCTACGAGATAAGTCTACTTAACGGGGATAGAGAGAAGAAAAGCCCCCGGGGGCTTCGCGGGGGTAATAGCATATATAATATAACATATCGTATCCGCCGTCTCTTTAGGCTAGACCATCCTAGCCCCGGACCCGATATATTATTCGTATATAGTACTATAATAATAAAGGTAGTAGAAAGAATATATGAAATTAGACGGCAAGACACGATCATGATGTTCGGAATGGGCCCTACGGCGCTACGTATTAAATATGCTATTAGATGAACTTAGTGGTATGATGATGATCTTCTGGCATTCCTGGGCCCGTCCATCCGTCTTCGACTTCCGTCCATGGCTGCGGACCAGCTACAACCTCCTCGCTCTAGGTCCTGTCTTCCACTGTGGCCTTGGCTTGTTGGTAGAGGCGCTCGGCGTCCGCGGGGGACCCGGCGTCGGCGACGTGGCCCCCACTCGCCTTTGCCCATCGCGCGACGGTCGCCGGGACGCTGGGGAGCTCGAGGGCGGGGTATGGCCGTCGGCGGCGGCGTCGTCGTCGTCGTCATGTGCCTGCGTCTCTCGGCCCCCGCCGCTGATAGAGGGTGTCTTCCCGTAGTCGCCACTCCGGACTTCCCTTGGCTTTTGGGCCGATGGCGGAGGCGGCCGGCGGAGGGGGCGTTGCTTCTCGGACCCTCGAACACGCCCGCGTGTGCCCTGCTCGCCGGCTCCAGCATCGTCGTCGTATTCGTCGGTGCGCCGGTGTGGCCCGTCCCCGTCGAACGCCCCCCCCTCCCGCTCGAGTTCCGACTCCCTACGCTCCCTCCCTTCCCTGGCCTCAGGCTCGGCTGGTCCGAGGAGCGGGAGACCTGGCAGCTCCCCGGCGGACGACGCGAGGGCCTGCTGGACTCTTCGCTGTAGTGCAAGGAGTGCGGCGTCGTTCGAGGTGACGGGCCGGTCGCCCAGACGGAACAGATCACTGCAGAAGGCGGACACGAGCGTGAGCATACGCGCGCGGCCGCGGTCGTCGCTAGCGTTAGCCGTGTCCCAATCGGGCCGGAGGACGTAGGTCGTATACTCCGGGTCGGTAATACGCCGGACGGTACGGAGTAATCGCGCCCAAGAGACGTAGCCAAAGCGTCTCCCGTACGCCGGCTCGTCGACGAGCATAATACTGCTGGCGAGGAGCGCCCGTCCGTCCGGCGTCAGGAAAGCCTCGGCGCTATATCGTGCAATATCTAGGACGCGTCGTTAGAGCTGTGACGCCGCGTCTCTAGCATACGTGTACGCGCCCCCCCTAGAAGAGCCGAGGCTATCGAGCGCGGTGCGTAGGTGGTCGATAAGCTGCGGCTTGTTCTTCAACTTTAGGTTCACCCTATCGAGCTCCGCCGCGCTGCCAGGATAGATCCAGGCGACGACGTGGTGCAGCGCCCGGACGGCGGCCTCTGCCTCCGGTTTCCTGGCCCGGAGAAGGCG